AGGTATTGTCACTGAGAAGAGAAGTCGCCTAGGTCAAAAGTCTAGATTACCTCACCTTTATTAAGATGAATGAGGGATGGATCCCGAAGGGACTGACACTGGGCGATACATTAGCTTAAAAAAGGCCTGATGAGATGAGCTGCCTTGGGCTAAAAATGGTCCACACGCTGCTGTATTTTAGCTCTGAATGCCTGTTGACTTGCGTGACTGATCCGCCACCAACTTGGGTTCAAGCAGCCATCTTTTAGGGCACTTTCTGCCTGTGAAACAAACATCAGTTATAGATTGAATAGCAGTTAGTTATCTTCAAGCAGGTGTGTCAGCCCTACAGCGTGTACTCTGCCAGTACGCTGCCACCTCCTCTACTCCTTCTACTCCATCCTCTTCTATAACCTCCTCGGCTTAGTCCTCTTCTGCTGCTGCGTCTTGCTCCACATCAACGGATAGGGGGCGTAGCAGTGATTAAACTGATAACAATAGTACTAAACACACCACTCACTCACTGGTGTCACAATAGCTTGGATTTAAAGAGCAAGCTTTTTCACTGTTATAGATTGAATAGCAGTTAGTTATCTTCAAGCAGGTGTGTCAGCCCTACAGCGTGTACTCTGCCGATGCAGCTGCCACCTCCTCTACTCCTCCTACTCCATCCTCTTCCATAGCCTCTCGGCTTAGTCCTCTTCTGCTGCTGCGTCTTGCTCCCACATCAGCGGATAGAGAGCGTAACAGTGATTAAACTGACCAACAATGAGTACTAAACACACACTCACTTCACTTTAATTGTCACAATAGCTTGGATTTAAAAAAAACAAAACTTTTTTCACCGTTATAGATTGAATAGCAGTTAGTTATCTTCAAGCAGGTGTGTCAGCCCTACAGCGTGTACTCTGCCAGTACGCTGCCACCTCCTCTACTCCTTCTACTCCATCCTCTTCCACAACCTCCTCGGCTTAGTCCTCTTCTGCTGCTGCGTCTTGCTCCACATCAACGGATAGGGGACGTAACAGTGATTAAACTGATAACAATAGTACTAAACACACCACTCCTATCTGTGGCACATTAGATTGCACGCGCAGTGCCCCAAATTTGTTGTGATCTGTGAGTAAGGTAAACGGTTGTCCATACAAGTAGGTTGCAGCTTTTGAGGGCCCACACCACCGCTATGCACTCCTTTTCAATGGCAGTGAATATACTTCGCTGTGCAAAAGTTTACGGCTTAGATAAGCCCCGGGTTGCTCGCCACCATCTGCTCCGACTTGGCTCAGTACTGCTCCCAATCCAAGCATAGAGGCGTCTGTATGGACGAGAAAGTGTTTAGTTGGATCAGGAGAAGAAAGTACAGGTGATTTAATGAGCGCCGTCTTGAGCTGTTGGAAGGCCTGTTCACACTCTGGGGCCCATACTACTATCTTGGGAAGGGTTTTTACACGTTCCTATATGGCACTTACTTTGAGCTTTAGGGTCGATCCGGACTCCTAATCCGGTCTATTCACACGGCTCCTATGTGGGTCAGGTGTTGTTGGGCCAGGAGCCACTAAAATGTCTATACCGGTAGTAGGTGTGTATCAGTGTGTGTATCCAGGATCCTTAGGACAGGTGTCAATCCATATCACCTTAAGTGATGACCCTATGTTGGGGTAACGACCTATTATTCTGATCTGTGTCAGTGTGTATCAGGGGCTCTGAGGACAGGTGTCAATCCATATCTGCCAAGTGACCGATGTTGGGGTAACATTCCCTATTTCACCTCTGTGTCGGTGTGTATCAGGACCACTGATAGGAGACGCGGAAGGTATTAAACTGATCAGAACAATACTAAACACACCACTAATAAGGTTTCTCTCCTGTATGGCTCCTCAAATGATGCTTAAGATTAGAAGCGGCTGAAAAGCATTTCTCACAGGTATTAAACTGATAAAAATAGTACTAAACACTCCACTCCTATCTGGTGTCACATTAGCTTGACAGCGCAGTGCCCCAAATTTGCAGTGAGAGGACCGACCAAGCCTCTTCTTCCATCTCCCTGTTACAAAAATCAATGCCGTGTACACGACCACTGATAGGAGACGCGGAAGGTATTAAACTGATCAGAACAATACTAAACACACCACTCCTATCTGGTGGCACATTAACTTGACCGCGCAGTGCCCCAAATTTGAATTAAGAGGACCGACCAAGCCTCTTCTTCCATCTCCCTGTTACAAAAATCAATGCCGTGTACACGACCACTGATAGGAGACGTGGAAGGTATTAACTGATCAGAACAATACTAAACACACCACTCCTATCTGGTGGCACATTAGCTTGACCGCGCAGTGCCCCAAATTTGCAGTAAGAGGACCGACCAAGCCTCTTCTTCAATCTCCCTGTTACAAAATCAATGCGTGTGCGGTACTGATAGGAGGCGTGGAAGGTATTAAACTGATCAGAACAATTAAACACCACTCCTATCTGGTGGCACATTAGCTTGACGCCAGTGCCCAAATTTGAATTAGAGAGTTGACCAAGCCTCTTCTTCCATCTCCCTGTTGCAAAAATCAGTACGTGTACCGCGACCACTGATGGGAGACTGATAGGTATTAAACTGATCAGAACAATACTAAACACACCACTCCTATCTGGTGGCACATTAGCTTGACCGCGCAGTGCCCAAATTTGAATTAAGAGGACCGACCAAGCCTCTTCTTCCATCTCCCTGTTACAAAAATCAATGCCGTGTACACGACCACTGATGGAGACGTGGAAGGTATTAAACTGATCAGAACAATACTAAACACACCACTCCTATCTGGTGGCACATTAGCTTGACCCGCAGTGCCCCAAATTTGAATTAAGAGGACCGACCAAGCATCTTCTTCCATCTCTGTTACAGAAATCACTGCCATATCCATACAAATTGTACAGAATGTCCAGGATAGTTTTCCAGGGACAAATGTTGTCGCCTGTTGAACGAGGTGACCTTGCTCGGGTCCCAGGTGTACGGTTCCTAAAATGGCTGCCATATACACGTCCACTGATAGGAGACGCGGAAGGTATTAAACTGATCAGAACAATACTAAACACACCACAAATAAGGTTTCTCTCCTGTATGGCTCCTCAAATGATGCTTAAGATTAGAAGCGGCTGAAAAGCATTTCTCACACTCCGAACAAAAATATATTTTTTTAACATTCTCTCCACTTTGAACGAAATGACGTTTGGGAAGAGATTAACATAATTAAACACAGGCAGTAAAAATACAGTTTTTAGCCATACCCTGTAACTTTAAAACTACACATCCCATCTTCATAATTACATATTTGGAATCAGCACACTTAAAACATAAACATAACCAAAAATCAGCCAAATCCATCCAGGGGTTAAAAAGTTAGCTGGAGGTCCCTTTATGACCGACCGCAAGCACATTTTCCTGCCCAAAACAGTTCCATAGATTTGGGCTGTGAGGTCGGTCTATTTCAGGCTGAAAAAACGACTAAGTCCCATCGCGAATGGGACTTAGTCTCTGCAGCTGAAATAAGGCTGAAAAAAAGACTAAGTCCCATCGCCGAATGGGACTTAGTCTCTGCAGCTGAAATAAGGCTGAAAAAAACGGCTGAAAAAAAGACTAAGTCCCATCGCCGAATGGGACTTAGTCTCTGCAGCTGAAATAATTTCCCATTTACTGAACCAAGTGGGAAATAGCAAGGCAGGCACAAAGGGTTTGCACCAGGTCTGGGGACACAGGGGACACCGTCTTAAAGGGGCCGTGTCCCCAACAAGTCTGGGGACACGGCCTTAAAGGGGCAGTGTCCCAATCTTCCTGATGTCCCAAAAAAGGTGTTTAAAGGGCCAGCACCAGTCACATAAAGAGTCCATAAGCCCCAATATGCCCACCGACAGTCTTAAAGGGCCATACACACCAAATAAAAGTGCATACATTTTCACAATCTCCCAGGGGCCATAGTCATGCGGGAGGAGGCTGGCAAAGAGGCTTCTCCACAACCCAGGGAAACAGGGCAATTTGCCATTTAAAGGGCCCGTTACAAATAGCAGTTTGTAACAAGGTGTCAATCCATATCTGCCAAGTGACCCTATGTAGGGGGAACAGTCCCTATTCTGCTCTGTGTCAGTGTGTATCAGGGATCTCTGAGGACAGGTGTCAATCCATATGTCAAGGTGTCAATATGTCATATGTCAGGTGTCAATCCATATTGATTGTGATTTAGGAATGTTAGGTGATTTCTGCCCTTTATGGATTAAAACCAGACTCTGTATCAACTGTGTAATTTTCCATGGGAGTTTTGCCATGGATCCCCCTCCGGCATGCCACAGTCCAGGTGTTAGTCCCCTTGAAACAACTTTTCCATCCCTATTGTGGCCAGAAAGAGTCCCTGTGTGTTTTAAAATTCGCCTCCCCATTGAAGTCAATGGCGTTTCGGGCGGTTCGCCGGTTCGCGAACATTTGCGGAAGTTCGCGTTCGCCGTTCGCGAACCGAAAATTTCGGGTTCGCGACATCACTACTCTTAATGCTGCACAATATATTTTCAATAACAATAAATTAAAGGATACAGTAATATATCTAGAGCAGTCTCTCATTCTAATAGCTCTCTCCATTTACTGTTTCTCCTTATGTCTGAAAAAGTGGGATAATTTTTTCCTGCAATATGTCATATTTTTTTTCGTGAGTAAATACTCTTTCTGGAAGCTTATAAATTGTGGTTTAGAGAATGTGTGTGATTTTTTATTTATTTATGCATTTTATCAGAAAGAATACATTGAGCCTGATTTTTGAGTATGTCCTGTGTTTTAGTGTTAGCCACTTTAGATCTTTTAAAATATCTCAACGATGGCTGAAACACATTGCAGGAGTAAATATCATACTGATGGGTATGAAAGTCACACAGACATGGTGGCATAATGAATTATAAGGATTGCTGAATTACAATGCATTTGAAAGAAATGCTGCAATCCAATAGTCAAGTATTTTGTATAACATTTTCTGCACTGCTAGTTGCTTTAATATAACCATTAAAATATGAACGATTTGCTCCTAAACCAAAGATCACTATTAAGAATCACTTTAAATGGTGATTCATCACTATGGTGTCCAAATGGATAGAATCACAGTGGTACATGCTGTTTCTACCATTTTGCCTTTTTTGTAGGCGTCCTGTTAGGTCCAACCACTCTAACTACTGGTAATATACAGTATCCTTTTTCCCATCATGTTGGCAACCACAGGTTTCATTATTATGCTAGTAGACTGATAGAAACCACAGAAGAGGACAATTGTGTTATTTGACACATAACAGGAGACTTGTGCTCTCAGCATACTAGCATCATAACCATCACTATAGTGGACTGTGTTAGTTATCGTACTTAGAGTGACCATTTAAAATAGTATCAGACTATTATTTACATATTTAGGTTTTGTTTTGCAGTTTTACAGTAACATACAACTTTTCTCCTTGACCAGGTGCGCCGCATTGTTAAAGAAGATGAGGCAATTGCTAAAGTAAAAGCAGAGGAGACACAGTCAATTGCTGATGATGCTCAACGAGATCTTGATGAAGCTATGCCAGCTCTTGATGCAGCCAATAAGGCTCTGGACTCGCTGGACAAAGCTGACATTTCAGAAATTCGAGTGTTCACTAAACCCCCCGACCTTGTAATGACAGTCATGGAAGCAATAAGCATCTTACTGAATGCAAAGTGAGAACTCAACATACTCTTTTTACTTAACATTTTTTCTTAAACATCTCTATTTCATAACTTTGTGTAGAAAACTGTATTTATTTTCCTTGTTTAGGTAAACTAAAGGGACAGTCTAAACAATTTTATCCTTTCTGTAAGAGTGCAACTTTACATTGCACTTACCGAACTAATGTTTTTATCCTCACATTGGCACACTATGTTTGCATTTCTCCCTCTCTTACCTATGTACAAATGAGATAAGAGAGAACCCCAAAAGGCTACATCGTTTAAAGAAACCCATATGAGCCTGCAATCAAGTTATATTTTGTTAGTGCAATAATACCACCAGCCTTCCATAGAGTCTACAGTTCTATACTATTACATGTATTTTTTCCCTAGATTGCACCCTGGACAGCTGTGTTTTTAGGACTGCTTTTGGAATCACTATTCCAGATATATAATCCAGTTATCTGAATAATTTATGTTCTGATTTATTTCAATGCTGATTCTGGGTTTGTGTTATAGGAATGCAATAGAAAATGTTGTAATAATATTGAAAATTAAGTGATGCCATTAGTCCCAAATGTATTTAACATAGAACTTAGCAGGGTCTGCGCTATCTTCATAGTCTGCTGAATACATGAGAATTGAATTTAATAAATGAGAATTTAGTTTAATAATTGCCAAATCTGTCAATTCTTGATTAAAAAAAGACTAGAATGTGGATTATATATATTTGTATATTTTACTTATAAGAATTGTGGTGAGATAAAAAAGTAACCAGATTATTCTGAAATGTACTATTGTACATTATGTACACATCTTAAAGGGACACTATAGTCACCAGAACAACAACAGCTTATTGACTTTGTTAAGGTGAGTAGAATCATTACCTTCAGGCTTTTTGCTGTAAACATTGTCTTTTCAGAGAAAATGCAGTGTTTACATTACAGCCTAGTGATAACTTCACTGGCCATTCCTCAGATAGCTGTTAGAGATCCTTCCTGGGTCATGGCTGCCTAAAATGCATCCAAACATTCAGTATCTCCCCCTCTGCATGCAGACACTGAACTTTCCTCATAGAGATTCATTGATTCAATTCATCTTTATGAGGAGATGCTGATTGGCCGGGGCTGTGTTTGAATCATGCTGGCTCTGCCCCTGATCTGCCTCTTTGTCAGTCTCAGCCAATCCTATGGGGTAGCACTGTGATTGGATCAGGCTACCACTTCTGATGATGTCAGCAGACTGCTTGTTTTTGTTAGGCAAACAGCATGCAGAGTTATAGCTTCTGGCTTGAATACAGTAAGATGTTACTGTATTTATGGAGGCATGAGGGGCCCGGGGGGGGGACTAGATTGTGGTGTTAACACTATAGGGTCAGGAATACATGTTTGTGTTCCTGACCCTATAGTGATCCTTTAAATGTTATATTTATACAATTATCCTAGAATGCCATGCAAAGATGCACTGTTTTAAAATATATATTGGACATCTAACAATGAACAGTGCAGCTTTAATTTTGGAAATTTGACAAAATTGATAGCCATCTGTGCTTATTTGCATGTTAAGCATGGTATTCTTGGTAAAATTATTTGAAGTTTTGCCTTGGGATATGTATATTATACACAACAGTACATTGTATTTCTTCATTTCATAGAAGGCTTAATTTGGCTACAGTCTGTCTGTAGGAATAGCACACGTGCTTATATAATAGAACAAACAAGAACATATTTCAAAATAATCATGCTTCACTTTTCAGGCCTGACTGGTCATCAGCAAAACAACTACTTGGAGATTCAAATTTCCTCAAACGGCTTTTAGAATATGACAAAGAAAATATAAAGCCTCAGATATTGATGAAACTACAGAAATACATAGCAAATCCAGAATTTGTGCCAGAGAAGGTTGAGAAGGTCTCTAAGGCATGTCGTTCCATGTGTATGTGGGTGCGAGCCATGGATTTGTATTCAAGAGTGGTGAAAGATGTGGAACCAAAAAAAAAAAAGCTTGCAGCAGCACAGGTACTACTTTTGGTTTTCAATACATAGGAAACATTGCATATGTCAAGATATTAAGTAAAACCTCAGTGCTTAGATGTCCAACTCTTAGACTTCCAAACATAAATGCAACTGTATTATACCTGACAAAATCTCAATTAAACTTTGAACATTGACTTGATTCAGTATATTCATAAGGAAGAGTTGCTTCCCAGCAAGAACGAATGATGTGCCTTTTTATGGATGTGTAGAAGAAAAAGAATAAAGAATTGATATAAGCACCCTAACCACTTCCAGCCATTGTAGTGGTTATGGGGCAAAGATTTGTTGAGTACTATCTGATATTTTCAAGTGGTTAGACAAAAGAATGTGCTTAAACCTCACTTGCGGGTGACTTAGCTTGGTTGAAAATCCACATCTGAATTATTTTATTGGCACGTGAAGGGATTTTAGTTCCTGAGAGCTCTTTTATTGTCTAACATCTCAAAAATGGTTTGAGTGAATGACTAGGAGAGAGCATTCAGAGCTCCATAACCGCTACAATGAGCTGCAGTTGTTATGTTGCTAAAAGTGTCCTCTTAAGTGAATACTCTTGTGGATATGTTACTATTTGCAGTTTTGCAAGTTTAATGAGGTCCTATATCCTTTTGTGTTTTTCTTCATGTTTGTTTTAGCACCTTTCATTGAATGTTGATTTTTTTTTTATAACGCAAAACACCTTTTGAATGCAACTTAGATACCCTTTATGTAAATGGATGTTCACCATAGATATGCTGTTCCTTATACTTTATATGGCAATCAAGGTTATTTTCGCCTTGTAACAGGAATCCTGGCCTTTATGAAATGCAATTGACATTTACTGTTTGTTTTTTGTCTGCAGGCTGAACTAGATGCCACGATGGCTACACTTCGACAAAAGCAAAAAAAGCTAAAGGACGTAGAGGAACAAATTAGAGAGCTGCAAGATCAATACGACACGAGCCTTGGAGAAAAAGAAAGCCTAGGTAACAATACATTTCTTAAAAACAAGGTCTTCATTTTTGAATGTGTCAAAAAGGACTTTATTTTTCAACCAAAAATAGTTATTATATTATTATTATATTATAATATTATTTTAAAAGGTATAACAAATGTCTTGAAATTTCTTTCTGATTACACACTATTTTATCTCTGGTCTTTTCTGCATAGAGCAAAACTATAATTTTATTAATTATATCAATTGTAATATTAAATTATATTTGCAAAAAAGAAAAAGGTACTATATAATCTCCCAACCAAGACAAGAGGAAACGTGCCAAACACCCAACAGTGTACCTCACATACACCAATATAATATGAACAAAAAAGTAAATCTATACTGTATAAAATACTAGTATAGATTAAAGGGGTAGCACAAAAAATATATACAACCTGTAGATAATACAAGAAACTTCCTTCACAAGATCTAAAATATAAGAAAAATCACACAATAGTGAAGCATGTACAGTCAATGTATAATACACTCCCGGAGGTAGAGAACTTACAGGACCAAACTGTAGATCTGAACTTGTCTCCCTTCCATAGGGTATGTGGATAAAAGGTTCTTTTCTTAGGAAGCTTGTATATACGGACCAAAGGTGCAAATTCAAGACGCTCAATCCTCAGAAGAAAAAGAGGTATATAGAGCAGTATTGTAGATAAAAATTAATTTATTTATACAAAATGCACTTACATCAAATAAAATTCATAGCAGCATATCACCACTAACAAGTGGTACCCAGGAGAAAGAGTCTCTCTGTAGCAAAATATCCAACGCGTTTCGTCTTTTGAAAGACTTCTTCAGGGATAAAGAATTAAAAATTCTGTTTTCTTTATATAGCCTTCACCATTTGAAATTGCCGCGGAAAATTCATTCACTTCCGGGTTCGGACTTCTCGGTTTTTGATTGGACATCCATCGTGATCACTTCCGGTGGATGTAACAAGATGTTTTTATTTCCGCGTTCCAAGCTGGAACGCATAGCGTCCATAACGTGCGGCTAGATGTATTCATTTCCGCGTTCCAAGTTGGAACGCATGGCGTTTATAACGTGCGGCTCTATGCCATGACACTTCCGCGTTCCACCGTGGAACGCACGGACAGACCCAGGCGCACAAGTTGCATTTGGGGCACCGAACGTCCCAGAGTGGGACACAGGGAGAAAATACCAATGACCATCTAGTTACATAATATACAAAACAAAGAAATATAAAAACAATAATATGTCTATCAAAATATGGATAACATCCAAGTACTATATAAAACACAAACTAAAAAATACATAATATAAACATGTATATGTATATAGAAGAATAGAGCATATATATACCCAAGTCCCTATCTAAATATACATCCATATCTAAAAACCATACCTATAAAGATATATATAAATAAAGAAAAAAACTAAATATAAAAATTCAAACATGTTACATAAATAATTACAAAAGGCCCGCCAGATCAATATCTTGATTAAGACCTCTCTTAAGGGTATTAAGTGTGTAAATCCAAAAGGCCTCTTTTTTGGCTAGATCATTAGTTCTATTTCCCCCTCTCCAATGGGGAGTTACTTGATCTATACCAATAGCAATAAAGGTAGACCAATCAAATAGATGACAAGAATTACAATGATTTGGGACACTATGTTCCGTTTTTTGGTTTCTAATATTATTAAAATGTTCCCGGAGTCTAGTGTGTAGGGTCCTGGTGGTTCTTCCCACATACTGAACTCCGCAACCACATTGTAAAAGGTAAATCACATATGTGGATGTACAATGGATAAATTTCTTAATAGTATATGTTTGATTAGTATAAAATCCCACAAAAAAGGTAGATTTTCTTTTTTGATAAACACATGTGGAACATGTTCCACATTTATGAAAACCTGGAGTTTTTGTGGATTGTAAAAAGTTTTTTGAATTTGGACCTTTAATCAATTTTGGTAACAAACTAGGTGCCAATTTATTTTTAAGGGTGTCTGCCTTCCTATATATAACTACAGGCCTTTCTGGAATTTTATCTCCTAAGACATCATCTCTTTTTAAAATGGCCCAGTGTTTTTTAAGGATTTTTTCAATTTTTTTGGCTTCAGAACTGTACTTGGTAATAAATGCAAAATCTTTGTAACTATAGTTATTTTTATTTTTATTTTTATGGTTTAAATTTTTATCTTTCAAAAATTCTGTACGATCTTTGTCCTTTATTTTTTCAATATCATCTTGTATATGGTCTATATTATACCCCTTTTCCACATATCTGTTTTGTATTAATTTTGATTGCTCTTCAAACATTTGAACACTAGAACAATTTCTTCTCATTCGGGTTATTTGGCTTTTAGGGATATTGTTTAGCCATACTGGATGGTGTAAACTAGTCTTTTTTATTGCTGTATTGCAATCAGTTTTTTTTAAAGAAGGTTTTTGTGTTCAAAGTGTCATTTTCTACATATAAAGTTAGATCCAGAAAATCTATGGTAAACGGATGAATGTTATGGGTAAAATTAAGATTATAGTCGTTAGAATTAATACTTTCAATAAATCTTTCTAGACTCCGGACATCTCCTTCCCAAATAATAAGTACATCATCGATGTAGCGCCGCCATAGGACAAGGCTCCCCCCCATACAAGGACCCAGCTGGATGCATGAGGCTTCCCAATGGGATACATATAAGTTGGCGAAACTTGGGGCGAACCTTGTCCCCATGGCGACGCCACATCGCTGCAAGAAAAAAGCAGTATCAAACCAAAAAAAATTTCTTTTCCAAAACGAATTGGATACAGGACACCAAAAAATCGATCTGAGTGGAGTTTAAAACATGTTGTAGGACTAGAACGTCTCTGATAACCTCCAAACCCTTAACATGAGGGATATTGGAGTACAGGGAGGTAACGTCCACTGTAGCTAATATATAAGATGGTTTCCAAATGAATGACTGTAAACTTTGAAGAATATGAGTAGTGTCTTTAACAAAAGAAGGACACAAAGATACATAAGGTTTTAAAAAGAAATCCACGTATTCAGAGAGATTACACGATAAAGAGTTAATTCCACTGATAATGGGTCGACCTGGGGGGGTCGTTACACATTTGTGGATTTTGGGGAGAAAGTAAAAAATGGCTGTTTTACAAAAGGGATTAAAAATATACTGAAATTCCTTTGATGAAATAATAGCTTGATCCAAACCCTTCTGGAGTAAAGATCTCAAATCTTCCAAAAAAGGTTTTGTGGGATCATTAGCAAGCTTTTTATATGTAGACTCATCTCCCAAAATTCGGTAAGCTTCTTGCATATAATATTCCCTACTCATGATGACCGTTCCACCTCCTTTATCGGCCTCTTTTATAACCAAATTATAATTCTTTTTTAATGTATTTAGAGCTTGTCTTTCTTTATTTGTTAAATTACATTTAGAATCTTTATGTTTCCATTGAATTTTGTCAAGGTCATTCTGAACCAAATCATTAAATACTTCTAAATATCTTCCTTTTTCATGGGAGGGATAAAAATTAGACCTTCCCTTTAAAGATGAAGAAACATTCGGACAAACTTCTGTTGGTGATTCTATTGGTTGTTTATTGTCCCTTGATTCTAATTGGACATTCTCATTACGTTTTTCAAAAAAACGTTTTATTGTTAATTTTTTGAGAAATTTTTGGTTATCAAGAAAAAGATCAAAGGATTTTATTCCTGCGGTCGGTGCGAATTTTAAACCTTTATTTAATAAATTCAATTCATGTGTAGTTAATTCTATACCTGATATATTAAAAATACCTGATGTATCTTTTATTGTTGTGAGTGGAGGGTTAGTGAAAGGAGCGGATCTTCCACTTCTTCTAGTTCTATATGTGGTCTTTTCTTTTTTGGGGAACTTAAAATCTGAAACCTGTTCTTAACGACTATAATCTTAATTTTACCCATAACATTCATCCGTTTACCATAGATTTTCTGGATCTAACTTTATATGTAGAAAATGACACTTTGAACACAAAAACCTTCTTTAAAAAAACTGATTGCAATACAGCAATAAAAAAGACTAGTTTACACCATCCAGTATGGCTAAACAATATCCCTAAAAGCCAAATAACCCGAATGAGAAGAAATTGTTCTAGTGTTCAAATGTTTGAAGAGCAATCAAAATTAATACAAAACAGATATGTGGAAAAGGGGTATAATATAGACCATATACAAGATGATATTGAAAAAATAAAGGACAAAGATCGTACAGAATTTTTGAAAGATAAAAATTTAAACCATAAAAATAAAAATAAAAATAACTATAGTTACAAAGATTTTGCATTTATTACCAAGTACAGTTCTGAAGCCAAAAAAATTGAAAAAATCCTTAAAAAACACTGGGCCATTTTAAAAAGAGATGATGTTTTAGGAGATAAAATTCCAGAAAGGCCTGTAGTTATATATAGGAAGGCAGACACCCTTAAAAATAAATTGGCACCTAGTTTGTTACCAAAATTGATTAAAGGTCCAAATTCAAAAAACTTTTTACAATCCACAAAAACTCCAGGTTTTCATAAATGTGGAACATGTTCCACATGTGTTTATCAAAAAAGAAAATCTACCTTTTTTGTAGGATTTTATACTAATCAAACATATACTATTAAGAAATTTATCCATTGTACATCCACATATGTGATTTACCTTTTACAATGTGGTTGCGGAGCTCAGTATGTGGGAAGAACCACCAGGACCCTACATACTAGGCTCCGGGAACATTTTAATAATATTAGAAACCAAAAAACGGAACATAGTGTCCCAAATCATTGTAATTCTTGTCATCTATTTGATTGGTCTACCTTTATTGCTATTGGTATAGATCAAGTAACACCCCATTGGAGAGGGGGAAATAGAACTAATGATCTAGCCAAAAAAGAGGCCTTTTGGATTTACACACTTAATACCCTTAAGAGAGGTCTTAATCAAGATATTGATCTGGCGGGCCTTTTGTAATTATTTATGTAACATGTTTGAATTTTTATACTTTGTTTTTTTCTTTATCTATATATATTTTTATAGGTATGGTTTTTAGATATGGATGTATATTTAGATAGGGACTTGGGTATATATATGCTCTATTCTTCTATATACATATACATGTTTATACTATGTATTTTTTAGTTTGTGTTTTATAGAGTACTTGGATGTCATCCATATTTTGATAGACATATTATTGTTTTTATATTTCTTTGTTTTGTATATTATGTAACTAGATGGTCATTGGTATTTTCTCCCTGTGTCCCACTCTGGGACGTTCGGTGCCCCAAATGCAACTTGTGCGCCTGGGTCTGTCCGTGCGTTCCACGGTGGAACGCGGAAGTGTCATGGCATAGAGCCGCATGGTATGAACGCCATGCGTTCCAACTTGGAACGCGGAAATGAATACATCTAGCCGCACGTTACGGACGCTATGCGTTCCAGTTTGGAACGCGGAAATTAAAACATCTTGTTACATCCACCGGAAGTGATCACGATGGATGTCTAATCAAAAACCGAGAAGTCCGAACCCGGAAGTGAATGAATTTTCCGCGGCAATTTCAAATGGTGAAGGCTATATAAAGAAAACAGAATTTTTAATTCTTTATCCCTGAAGAAGTCTTTCAAAAGACGAAACGCGTTGGATATTTTGCTACAGAGAGACTCCTTCTCCTGGGTACCACTTGTTAGTGGTGATATGCTGCTATGAATTTTATTTGATGTAAGTGCATTTTGTATAAATAAATTAATTTTTATCTACAATACTGCTCTATATACCTCTTTTTCTTCTGAGGATTGAGCGTCTTGAATTTGCACCTTTGGTCCGTATATACAAGCTTCCTAAGAGAAGAACCTTTTATCCACATACCCTATGGAAGGGAGACAAGTTCAGATCTACAGTTTGGTCCTGTAAGTTCTCTACCTCCGGGAGTGTATTATACATTGACTGTACATGCTTCACTATTGTGTGATTTTTTCTTATATTTTAGATCTTGTGAAGGAAGTTTCTTGTATTATCTACAGGTTGTATATATTTTTTGTGCTACCCCTTTAATCTATACTAGTATTTTATACAGTATAGATTTACTTTTTTGTTCATATTATATTGGTGTATGTGAGGTACACTGTTGGGTGTTTGGCACGTTTCCTCTTGTCTTGGTTGGGAGATTATATAGTACCTCTTTCTTTTTTGCATAT